GACCTTTCCCCAGTTGGTATACCACCGATTAGGTAGCAATCCGGCTCGGTTGGGGTAAGTGTTGCTCCCGGAATTCGACCGGGGTCAAGTAATTCAAAGCACTGTGTGGACGGGCATGATTGTAGTCCTGCCGCCACGCTTCAATCGTCTGTCTTGCATCCTGCAAATGATGGAAGACCGACTGATTCAAACATTCTTCCCGGAAACGCCCGTTGAAGCTCTCGATAAATGCATTCTCAACAGGCTTACCTGGTCGGATGAATTGCAGCGTCACGCCGTGTCGATAAGCCCATTCATCCAGTGCTCGACTGGTAAATTCTGGTCCATTATCAACCTGAATCAGGCTTGGGCAACGGCCGGCGCAACGTAACTGATCGAGAACCCGCGCGACGCGCCGTCCGGATAGCGAGTGGTCCACCTCGATCCACACCGATTCACGGTTCCAGGTATCCACCACGGTCAACGCCCGGATACGGCGACCGTTCCACAGGGTGTCCGAAACGAAATCCATCGCCCAACGCTGGTCTTGTCCCGCTGGCATGGGCAGCACCACCCGAAGGTGGCTTGGCCGCTTCTTGCGTCGCCGCAAGCGTAGCGACAAGCCTTCTTCTTTGTAGATCCGTTCAACCCGCTTGTGGTTGATGGCCCAGCCTTCCCGGCGCAGCAAGGCATGCAACCGTGGCGAGCCGAAGCGCCGGCGTTGTTCGGCCAATTCGCGCAACCTGGCACGCAGTTCCGCATTGCGATCCTCCGCTGGCTTGCGGCGAAAGGTCTTACGCGTTACCAACAACAAGCGACAGGCCCGACGTTCCGAGATACCGTGCCGAACGATAAGCTGCCGGGCGGCATCACAGCGCTGGTCGGGCCGCGTCAGTTTTTTGAGACCACCTCTTTGAGCATCTGGATATCCAGCGCCTGATCGGCCACCAGCCGTTTCAGCCGGTTGTTCTCCTCTTCCAGTTGCTTCAGTCGCCGGGCCTCGGAGACCTCCATGCCGCCGAACTTGGCTCGCCATTTGTAGAAGGTGGCATCCGAGATGCCATGCTTGCGGCACAGGTCGACCACCGCGATGCCGGCTTCAGCCTCTTTCAGGATGGCAATGATCTGCTCTTCGGTGAAACGGGACTTGCGCATGTTGGCTCCTTTGAGTCCTCATGCTAACTAATGATTGGGATACCTGTCAGGGGAAAGGTCA